ATCCCACCAAAAGCTTACGTCCTTCCCTTCTCCTAACTTCAGTCTAAGTATATTTATAAGTATAATTATAAAAGTTTATATTAAATTTATAAAAATATATATAGCGATAAATCTAAAATAATACACAATATTATTTGATATACGAGATATATATTATAGCAGTAGCGAAACTAGTATGCCTATTGTTATGGTATTGACAACCTTGGTGGGGAGGCTAAAAAATTTCTTTTATTTGATTATCAAAAAATTAAAAAAGAGGAGAGGGGAAGAATTCTATTTACTTTATTTTTTTAATTTAATTTATATATTCAAATAAGGAGAAGGGAGAGAAATGGAATGATACAATTTTCCTCTCATTCCTTTCCTTTCCCTTCATTTTCTTCCATTCAAATATTCTGTTAAAGTTTTTTTTTTCAATTTTATTTCCTATTAATAATTACTCTTAACTCTTAAAAAATGTGTTTTTTAAGATTGTATTTAATACACTTTTTTCACCATTAAGTTGTATAAAAAAAATAAAATTTGATTTTAATTTTAATAATTAATTAGTTAAATCAATAGACGTGATATTTATGTTAAAATTAATATTAATTCTTAACATTTTTTATATAACTTAATGATTAAAAAATATATTAATTACATCTTAACTTTTACTCTCAAAATATAAATTAAAAAATTCTTAAAAAAACACATCCTAACTTCTCAACTATCCTAAGTAAATATGAAATTTTATTTAATATTAAGTATTTATTAAGAAACTTTGTAATTTTCTCTATAATTGTGTCAAGCAAAAATATGGCAAGTAAAAATATTGGGAGATACGTAGGACAATTTTGGATAAACACTCAGATTAGTTTACTTTAGTGGTAGAGTACACAGGAATTCTTCCCTGGTTAACCCTTATACCAAAAGCAAATGCATAGAATTTTATCAATGAGCTAAAAAACAATAGTAAAAGACAACATTCTTGAGCAGCCGGAAGGAGGCTATCGACATGCACTGTTGATGGGAACTGGGGGGATCCAAGAGCGAGCCACCCAAAATTCTCCTGGCTACCCTGTGGTTAGCAGCTTCATTATAGTGAGTTCCATCCCAGCTAATGTGTTTGGAAGGATCACTACAGGAAGCTCTAAAAATTTTAGTCCCATTAACCAACGCTGTCTTTCCACATTCAACTGTATAGTCGCCCAAGTTCCCACAACAGTATACAAAAGGACCAACAAAACCTGCAATACTCAGGTATGGATGTTAGGTGTCACAAGAAATTTGAATCAGTTGAACAACTAGGAGAAGCCCTAATACTCAAATAAGTATGGATGTTAGACGTCACAAGAAATTTGTATCAGTTGAACAAATAGGAGAAGACCCGAACCAAGAACTTGTTATAAACTAATGGAATAGCAAAATGTATTTTTTGTTACGTTTGGCTTGGAAATGTATTAGAAAGATAGAATCACTGTCTTACGAAACTTAGTTGGCCCATGACAATATAAAACCTACCATATTTGTGTGCGTTGCTGATTAGAGAATATTTAGCTGAGCAGATATCAACATATACACACCTCACTTCTGGAAATTGTATCCGAAGTTGGGAGATCTTGTCTTTGAGTTGCTTGTTGAATTCCAAAGCTAGCTCATTGTACGACTTGATGCAGGTGATATGGTCAGCATCCTCAGGTTTTGGAGGGGTACTTGTAACATAAGTACGCAAACAGCCAACTGGACCGGTATTATGTATCTAAAATGTTCTTGGACCTTCTTGATAGAGGGCCTGATACAATTCAAAAATTCAAAAAAAA